TGACAACATTGGCTAGAAGACGAGGGACAGTAGGACTGGCAGCACGAGCTAAGTCGAACTCAGGGTCAGGAACGGCAAGAACAGAGGACGCAGGAGGAGGCGGCAGGGGAACTTGCAGTGGAACAGAGGAAGGAGGAGGAGGACGCGGACGAGGAGCACGACGACCACTGTGAACAGCGCAAACACGCGAGGCAGGACGAGACTTGGGATCATGACGCTTTGTAAGAGAGTCTGTCTGCTCAAGGTAAGGAGAACGAGCGGGCAGTGGGGAGTCTGGCTGTAAATGTGGCTGTGACTGGTGAGGCGGTGGACTCAGTATGCTAGGAGGAAGGCCAGTAGAAGACGGGAGCCTAAGAACCTGGCGAAGGACTGAGTCAGGTGGCGACAGAGACGACGGTGGCGGCGGAATTAAAAACGGTCACCGCTGCACAGTACCTCCAGCACCAGTACTGCCTGCTCCAGCACTCCCAGCGCCAGCACCTCCAGCTCCAGTGCCTCCAGCTCCAGGGTCTCCAACTCCAGCGCCTCCAACACCACCAGCCCCGGCAGCTCCAGTACCTCTAGTACGAGCACCTCCAGGACCAGCAGCTCCAGCAGTAACTCCAGCACCTCCAAAACTAACAGCTACAGCACCTCCAGCTCCAGTGCCTCCAGCGGCAGAGCCTCCAGCTCATGCAGCTCCACTCCAAAGGTGTGTGCGATGAGCAAACCACTCTCGCAGCTGCTGTGGTGAGAGATGCTTCCGCCGGGGAGACAGTCGTGCCGAGGCACCCGCAGGACCTCCAGCAGATGAAGTACCCCTAGGCTCAGCACCCCCAGACTCCGCACCCTCAGACTCAGCACCCCAAGACTCCACACCCTCAGGCTCAGTACCCCCAGGCTCCGCATCCCCCGGCTCAGCACCCCAGCCTCCGCACCCTCAGACTCAGCACCCCCAGGCTCCGCACCCTCAGGCTCAGCACCCCCAGGCTCCGCACTTGCAGGCTCAGCACCCCCTGACGCAACACCCCCAGACGCAGCACCTCTAGCAGCACCTCAGTCTACAGCAACCTCGACAGGCACAGTCCCGGCGAGTGGGTCTACCTGAGACACACCTGAGGGAGAAGGACCCTGAGGGGGAAGGGGGTCTATCGGGGGGGGACCTGGAGCAAGGAAGAGCGGCGGGGGGGGGAGAGGGGCAGTGCAGTAGGGGAAGAGACGGTAAAAGGGAACCGACTTGTTAAACGTGCCGTCGTGAGAGGGGAGGACACGGCGCGAGGTGGGGTGGTAAAACTGCCAGCCAGGCGCGTCAGCCAGCCAGGGGGAAAGCCAAGGAAGACGCAAGGAATAGCGTAGGCGGAGAGCTTGTCCGCAGACGTATCGCGAACAAAGGCACGAGAGCCCCAGACCCGGAACACCGACGCATCGCCAACCTTCCCCGTCCAACGCAGTGTAGGCGAGGTCTCCGGCAAGGAGACACGGGGCCAGAGGTTGAGCTGATGCGCAGCGTACCGGACCGCAAACGACCACAGAAAATGGGGAGCAGCCGCATGGATCATGGAGGCACGAGCCACCTCCATGACTAGGCCAATGCAGGGCTCAGCAATCCCATTTTTCTGCGGGGAGGCCGGAAGTGTGAACGACTGGAGGATGCCCTGCCCACGACAAAAGTCCCGCAAGAGGTCAGAGGAGAACTCACCACCTCTGTCAGAGTGCAGACGCAGGACAGGAAGGTCCTTATGGAACCGCTCACGGAGCTGGAGACGGACTGCGTGGATCCAAGGGATCAAGACATCAGGGACGTGACCCTTGCTGCGCAAAGGGAAGACCGTGGTGTAGCGCGTGTAGTCGTCAACAACCAGCAGAAAGTAGCGCTCGCGGCCTTGTCCACTGATGCGGGCTGGGCCCCACACGTCCATGTGGAGGGTCTGCAGGGAGCAGTCGTCGGGGGAAACGAGGAGGAGTGAGGAGCAGCGCGCTGCCGCCCCTCGACACAAGGAAGGCAGGGCGGGGCAGGCGAGGGCGGGAGGGGAGACAGAGACCTGGGAAGACCAGAAACAAGGAAGCGGGAGTGCATGCCATAAAGGCATGGCAGGGAGGGGTGACCAAGGCGGTGGTGCCACAGGAGAGTCTGGTGCGACAGGAGGCGACACAGTCAGGGGGGTGCTACTGGACCTGACGCGGACACCTGGGCAGACGCAGCTACCTGAGGAGGCTCGGTTGTCTGTGTGTACAGACTCGACCCAGGCCAACGAGTGAACGTGGCCAAGTGACGGCACGTCCGTGTACACGTGCAGATCGACACACACTGACCCCCAGGAGTGGTGGTAGTGACCATCGCATCCTGGAGGGCAGCGGTACTCACCAAGTTTGTAGAGAACGAGGGGAGGTGAAAACCTGAGAGTGAGCCGGACGGAACCGCCGGACACGGGAGAACAGTGGAGGAACGGGCAAGAACTAGGCCCCCTGAGGGGTCGGCCAGTCTGACCGGAACAGGTGCAGTGAGAGGATTGAGGGTAGTACAGTCGCGAAAGAAATAGCGGGAAGCACCTGAGTCAAGCGTAAAGGTGTGCAAGGCCTCAGCAGGCGCAGTACCAGGGAGAGCAGACTCACTAGCACCTAGAGCAGCAGCCTCTATACCTGGGTCAGGCGGCACACACAAGTAACAGTCACCCTCAGCACTAACAGACAAGGCATACATGGCGGCAAGGATAGCATCATAGTCAAGAGAAAAGATATCAACTCTAGACCTGAGCAGCTCTGCCCAGCAGGGGCGCTCAGCCTCGTCACCAAACTCTGCGCGCCAAGCGTCGTCTAGGCGAGAGAAGCAGCGGTGCAGAGAGTGAAACTTCCCGCATGTCTGACCAGCACGGTCACCCATGCGAATGATATTCGGGCAGCAAACACTACCCCCAGACGCCCCACGCTGAGCAAACCACTCACGAAGCTGCTGGGGCGAAGGGGTCTCACTCCGACGCTGCTACTGCTGCCTCTGGCCACCACCAGAACCTCCCCTCTGAACAGCTCCACCCCGAATGCCACCACTCCCACCGCCGCCACTACCGCCACCCCCACCGCTGCCGCCACCGCCGCCACCGAAGTCCCCACTCTCGCCACCACTCCCACCCCTGCCGCCACCGCCGCCACCTACACCGCCTCCACTGCCGCCACCACCACCACCCCCGCTGCCACCGCCACCACTCTTGCCACCCTTGCCCTTGCTGCTGCGGCGCTTCCCACTAAGAGCAGAAGCAGTCCCGGCATCCTCAGCACCAAGGATGTCAACAACAGCAGCAGAAGCAAGGGGGGAGGGGGAACACCCCTCAAAGAAGGGTGTGCGAGGAGTGCCACGAGCAGCACCTACAACGACTATGCTAGTCTCAGCTGCAAGGAGGTGCTACTCGAGTAGGTCGACAGTGAGGTCTGTGGGGTCAAGTGCGAGTGACTATGAAATAGAGAGTGATGAATATCGGGGGTGGGTTCCTGTCGAGGAACTGGGCTGGGAGGGCAGCGCGGTAGTGGGCGTCGCTAGTGCGAAGGTGGGTAATGAGGTCCTCGACTGTGGCAAAGGCTGACAGCTCGGGAAATAGGTAGGGCGGTATAAGGTGGCCAAGAGCAGCAGTGGCAAGGGAGGAGTAACGAACGACTACAGCGTCGTACAGTGCTTTAGTAGTCTTGTGATGGCCAAAGTAAGCGCGTTCGGCTCACGGCAGGTGGTTGCAAATGGCTAAGCGAGCAATAGCGTCACTCGTAAGCCACTGTGAGCGAGTGGCACTGTCAGCTGTGGCGGGAGGGGCGAGAGAGGCTCCAGACATGTGGTCAAACAACGAAACGCTGTCTCTAGAATCGCTCAGTAGGTACAGCTGTAAGTGGTCGAGCCACGTATCGAACTGGATTGGACGGCTCTCATGATCGAAGGTGAGTACACTTAGAGAAGCCATATCGGGCAGAGCAGGGGTGGCGCGTGACCAGCAGAGCAGCACGCAGGCAGGGCGACGAGAAAGCACGAGGGAAGAGCACAGGGCAGGGCAGGGCGGCGCATGGCTAGGGCGGCCAGCAGGGCGAAAAAAACTCGATACGGTATGTGAAATTACAGACCAAGTACAACAACGCATATGAAAAATCAGATGAACGGACATACAATGTCTGAGCATTCAGATGAAGCTCGTAAAATGATAATATGAACTTAAAAATACTGGTTTGATTTTCAGACGGCCAGTTGGGTTTGGTATGATATGAAAACGAAGACCATGTTTCCAACATTCGTTTTTGCGTGCTGTGTAAAGATTGTCAAATTTTACGAGTGCCATTCAATTCTCAACTCAATAAATCAGCATATTTTGAGAATAAATCCCTGGGCAAACTGAGTAAGTCCTTTATACGCAATACTTCAAATAGCAAACTCTGAATGGAAACAATTAAAATAACCATTCAACTACATAAGATAATCTTATAGGAGAAAGGGAGAGCCTGTTTGTTGGAAGGTCGATATGGGCTGCTGCACCTGCGGCCTTGTTGCCAAAAAGCGCCTCTCGCATCGAGGTGCTGCTCCCTCGCCGAGAGTCGAGAAGCGGCGCGGCGGGGTCCACAGAGTGCAAAAGGCTCGCCGCCATCGTGCAACATGCTTAGTCCGTAATTCGCGAATCGTAGCAGAGGCGTCGCCGGTCGTCGCAATGGCCCCTGCGACGGCGAGCTCGCAGCTGGCGGGGCTGCAGCAGTGGGCGAAGCGCGTGCTGCTGGCGGAACTCGTCGCGCCCGGCGACTCGGTACGGCCGCCGGGACTCGAGGGGTGCCGCATGGCTGCGCGATGAACGGACGATAGGTGGAACGGGGTGACAGAGCAGCACGGCCCATGGCAGCGCGCGCTGGGGGGTGGTGGGGCGGCAGGGGGCGAGGTTAAGGAGCAGGGCGTAAAGAGGGATCGTGTCGAGCATGGCTTCCTGGCTTAAGCCGCCTGGCGCATGGCTCATGGTGGCTGGCCCCACGCATGCGCGCTGGCCCCATGCATGCGCGCTGGCCCCATGCATGCGCGCTGGCCCCATGCATGCGCGCTGGCCCCACGCATGCGCGCTGGCCCCATGCATGCGCGCTGGCCCCATGCATGCGCGCTGGCCCCATGCATGCGCGCTGGCCCCATGCATGCGCGCTGGCCCCATGCATGCGTGTCGCTTCCAAATGCCCGCCCAGCTGGCAAGCACAAACCAATGTGTGCTCCCCACTGTACGCCCCGCTGTGCGCCCGTGATTGTGCCCGTGCGTGTGCCCGTGCGTGTGCCCGTGCGTGTGCCCGTGAGTGTGCCCGTGCGTGTGCCCGTGAGTGTGCCCGTGCGTGTGCCCGTGCATGTGCCCGTGAGTGTGCCCGTGTGTGTGCCCGTGCGTGTGCCCATGCGTGTGCCCGTGAGTGTGCCCGTGAGTGTGCCCGTGCGTGTGCCCGTGAGTGTGCCCGTGCGTGTGCCGTGTGCCCGTGCGTGTGCCCGTGAGTGTGCCCGTGAGTGTGCCCGTGAGTGTGCCCGTGCGTGTGCCCGTGAGTGTGCCCGTGACTGTGCCCGTGAGTGTGCCCGTGTGTGCCCGTGCGTGTGCCCATGAGTGTGCCCGTGCGTGTGCCCGTGCGTGTGCCCGTGAGTGTGCCCGTGCGTGTGCCCGTGAGTGTGCCCGTGAGTGTGCCCGTGCGTGTGCCCGTGAGTGTGCCCGTGAGTGTGCCCGTGAGTGTGCCCGTGCGTGTGCCCGTGCGTGTGCCCGTGAGTGTGCCCGTGCGTGTGCCCGTGAGTGTGCCCGTGCGTGTGCCTGTGCGTGTGCCCGTGCGTGTGCCCGTGAGTGTGCCCGTGAGTGTGCCCGTGAGTGTGCCCGTGCGTGTGCCCGTGAGTGTGCCCGTGACTGTGCCCGTGAGTGTGCCCGTGTGTGTGCCCGTGCGTGTGCCCATGAGTGTGCCCGTGCGTGTGCCCGTGCGTGTGCCCGTGAGTGTGCCTGTGCGTGTGCCCGTGAGTGTGCCCGTGAGTGTGCCCGTGCGTGTGCCTGTGAGTGTGCCCGTGAGTGTGCCCGTGAGTGTGCCCGTGCGTGTGCCCGTGCGTGTGTCCGTGCGTGTGCTCGTGCGTGTGCCCGTGAGTGTGCCCGTGTGTGTGCCCGTGAGTGTGCCCGCGAGTGTGCCCGTGAGTGTGCCCGTGCGTGTGCCCGTGAGTGTGCCCGTGAGTGTGCCCGTGCGTGTGCCCGTGCGTGTGCCCGTGCGTGTGCCCGTGAGTGTGCCCGTGAGTGTGCCCGTGAGTGTGCCCGTGAGTGTGCCCGTGCATGTGCCCGTGAGTGTGCCCGTGAGTGTGCCCGTGAGTGTGCCCGTGCATGTGCCCGTGAGTGTGCCCGTGAGTGTGCCCGTGCGTGTGCCCGTGAGTGTGCACGTGAGTGTGCCCGTGAGTGTGCCCGTGAGTGTGCCCGTGCGTGTGCCCGTGCGTGTGCCCGTGAGTGTCCCCGTGCGTGTGCCCGTGCGTGTGCCCGTGAGTGTGCCCGTGAGTGTGCCCGTGAGTGTGCCCGTGAGTGTGCCGGTGCATGTGCCCGTGAGTGTGCCTGTGCATCTGCCCGTGAGTGTGCCCGTGAGTGTGCCCGTGAGTGTGCCCGCGAGTGTGCCCGTGAGTGTGCCCGTGAGTGTGCCCGTGAGTGTGCCCGTGAGTGTGCCCGTGAGTGTGCCCGTGAGTGTGCCCGTGAGTGTGCCCGTGAGTGTGCCCGTGAGTGTGCCCGTGAGTGTGCCCGTGCGTGTGCCCGTGAGTGTGCCCGTGCGTGTGCGTCCCTTTGTGTGTGCGCGTGTGTGTGCCGGCAGGTGTGTGAGATGTTCTGTGGTCGCGGGGAGGACACGCCGCTGTGGGTCAACGCGCGCATCGCCTCCTACCTGGGCGTCGGTGAGTGCCACGTGGGCGTCGGTCAGTCTGCCGCCCGCTGTGTGTGAAACCTCCTCCTCATGCCGCCCCCCTCCCACCGTGCCTCTGTTTCTCCCTCCCCTCTCACACCACCCCCCTTGTATCCAACCCAACCTCCCCCCTCCTCCCGCCCTGCCACGGCACGCCATGGCTGCGGGGCAGACGTGACGCCGTCGTCACTGGAGGAGGCGGCAGAGGAGTGGCGCGCACACGGCGCCCCCTATGGCGCCGCCTTCCACTACGCCGACCCCTCCCTCGTATGCCTTCCACTACGCCGACCCCTCCCTCGTATGCCTTCCACTACGCCCACCCCTCCCTCGTATGCCTTCCACTACGCCCACCCCTCCCTCGTATGCCTTCCACTACGCCTGCTTCTCCCATCTATTCAACTGTAAAGGAAAAAGAGCTTTGCAAATCAGTTAAGAGCACCAATTCTGTTCTACAATATCCCCTACCCACCACCCTCCTCCTTGCCCCATTTAAGAGCATCTCATGTTAATTCATGTGAAACAGCCTAAGCTTCCTCTCTTTTACTATAAAAAACCTCATTTGTTTTGTTGAAATGACGACTTCAGATGCGTAAACCGCTGTTGGAAGTTTGGTCGAAACGATCCGGATTTTTTGTTCTTAGCTGGGTTAGACTCGTAATGGTCAAACATCGAACTGGCTGCTCTCTGGTTCGAAACCGAACCATTTCAAGCTTGAGAGCCAAAACTTTGAACTGGGTTCCTACTGCCCAACCCCCACGTGCCTCTGCAGGCGCCGCTCTCACTGGCAGCGGTGGGGCGCCTCACGCCCTTCAACGTCGTCTGCTGCAGTCCCCGCGTGCAGGTGCCATGCGTGCAGGTGCCATGCGTGCAGGTGCCATGCGTGCATGTTTGAACCCTGATGCCACTTGGTGTGATGTTTGTACTTTCATCTCACTGACAGCTTTCCTCGTTCCCGATCACCGCCTTTTGCTGTCTCATGCAACCACCCCCACCTCTGACCCACCTGCTCACTCAACCCCACATACCCCCTCCCCCTCCTCCCCTCAACCCCCTCCCCAACCAATGGGGGGGCCTGCAGGACTGGTTCAGCTCGCAGCGCTCGGCGGCGCAGTTCCTGGCGAACGTGGCGGCGCTGCTCGCCCCCGGAGGGATCTTCTTCGGCCTCCTGCCCGACTCCTCCACCCTCTGGTATGCCCGACTCCTCCACGCTCTGGTATGCCTGACTCCTCCACCCTCTGGTATGCCCGACTCCTCCACCCTCTGGTATGCCCGAATCCTCCACCCTCTGGTATGCCCGAATCCTCCACCCTCTGGTATGCCCGACTCCTCCACCCTCTGGTATGCCCGACTCCTCCACCCTCTGGTATGCCCGACTCCTCCACCCCCTGGTATGCCCGACTCCTCCACCCTCTGGTATGCCCGACTCCTCCACCCTCTGGTATGCCCGACTCCTCCACCCTCTGGTATGCCCGACTCCTCCACCCTCTGGTATGCCCGACTCCTCCACCCTCTGGTATGCCCGACTCCTCCACCCTCGTAAAAAATCAACTCGAACAAAAAAAAGTTGAGTATGAATGTTTGTTCATCTGGCAGAAACGCAAGACTAGAACGACTCGAGTAAGGCCCGCTGATCCGGGTTCAAGACGCATCTTGTCGCCTTGATGAGTGATTGAACTCGTCAAGGGCGAAACAAGACTCGTTCTCTTCCAAGAACCAGCTGCACGCTGTGTAGACCTTGAGCACTATGATGGATTATACGCGTTTAGCGTATATATGCGTATCGTATATACGCTAGCGTGTATATGCCATACGCTTGAGGGTCGGATCAGGCATACGCTTTTTCGGGTAGGGAAAATAACATTTCGGGCAGGGTGGAAAAAAATTACCCCCTATCTCATCTCACTAAGACGTGCCCTAGAATTTTCCTGAGTCCGATCCGCGGGTGGGGTGGGGCGGGGAGTAGACATCATAGCTAGAGGGAGTAGTGTTGGAGAGGCTGTTCAAGTTGGAGTGCGTGGGGACACTGCTGCAAGCGGGAATGCAAGGTAGGAAATGACGGGTTAGGAGTTGGGTTGGCTGGTAAGTAGCGTGAGATTTGTTGGGGGTTCGATTTTGATAGGTTGGGGTTCGTAGATAAGATGGTTTTCAATGCGGTAGAGGGGATGGGTTCAAATGCCTAGATGGGACCTGAAATTCGACATTTGAATAGCCAGATGTGCCTGAAAACTTCGAAGTCAGATCCCAGCTTGCATAGACCTCGGATTTGCATTTCGACTTCGGCGAAATGCTCACCAAGAAAATCCCCATCTTTTCTGCGATTTTACTTTCCCGGGCTGCCCGAATTTTTTTATGGCTGCGTATCGCGTATTCGCTAGCATTTAGCGTATTGCGTGTACACGCTAGCGTAGATACGCTAAACGCAAAGGGTCTAGAGCGTATAATCCATCATAGCTTGAGCATCTGTATGCACTCATTAACCAATAGGTGCTCAGGCACCTGGCTGACTTGACAACGTTTTACCCTCGACTGCTTGTCTAGAATCTATATGCCCAACTCGTGTTCAGCAACCATCAAGTCTACCCTCTGTTGCTCCTCCACCCACTGTGGTTGCGCCCCTCATTGCTACTCCTCCACACTAATAGGCATAAGCGACTGGTCAAACCCTCACAATGGTTCAACCTGATAGTGTCGGAATGAGCACGGACCAGACAGTGCCAGTCTGGGTCGGGCCAGGGTGGGCTGGCCGGCCGGGTGTGGGCCCGTGCTGCGGACGAATGTGACGGGCCAACGGCGGCTCGACCTGGGCCGACCATGGCCTGGGTGCGGCTGAGGGTGGCCAGAGCATGAAGCGCGTTGTCAAGCTTAAGTGGCAATTTTCAATGCTGATGGTCAATGTTACGCGGAGAACGACTGAATTCCAACAGGCTCCTTGCGGCCGCGGCGGCTTGGCAGGCCGTCCACTTGATAGCTGGCTCTGTGTACATCCAAACGTGATCAACCGAAATCTCCAACCCACCAAATGGATTCAACCGATTTCCTAGGGATTGCCCGCGATTCCCTCCCCATCCATTCCTTGCTCATTTTCGATGTACTTAAGAGCCTTAAGCTCATTACCTAATGTATCAGTTCAAGCTTAAGCTCTTACATGGTATCAGAGATATTCAACCGCACACGCGGATCATCATCCTCCTAGCTTTGCGGAAGCTACTACCGCACTCTTTGGCGGAGCCGCTTTGAACCTCCGTCACTTGGCATTGACGCTCGTCATCGCCATATAATATATGGCCGGAATTTATCGCCACTTTCGTCGCCGTCGATTCGCGACATCAACTCTGGCCGGATGATCTTCCGCACCATTCTTCTAGTTGTCATCTCGTTCACACTACCCGTTGCTATCACGATCATCGGCAGATTAATCCGGTGTGGTGAAATTTCCACGCCTAAGACCATCGAAGTCACTAACGACCCTCATCCCGACAAGCCTAGAGCATCGGGCGAACACCGAACGTGTTCGCCCGAACATTCACGAACATCTTAGTATGGCGAACCGAACATGTTCGGTTCGCCCAACACTTTTTTGTGAAATTCAGTGTTCCGTGTTCGCCCACGTGGGCGAACATGTAAATGGTGGGCGAACCTTTTACATGTTCGGGCGAACCCGAACTTATTCGGTTCGTCCAATGACTGTTGAGGCATAAATGATCTATGTTACCTATTAGTGAAACCCTAAAAAACGGCCTTAAAGGCAATGTTTGCCTAAATAACGGTTAACGTGGGTGATATTAGCTTAGTAATGAAGAAAGCACTAGGGATGACCTAGTCTTACCGCAAAAATGGTGATCGAGCTCGAAATGAGTTCGATCTGATGTTTCCGTAGCTTTCTAATCCAACCAGCGACAAATGTCACGCTGATGTTCGCGGAACTGGGAGACACCCACCACGTCGGCGTCTTTCCCGGTTAACGGCAGCGGCATATCAGGTCAGCAAAACAAGTGCTGTTAACAAGGTGAAGTGGAGCTGGTTGTTGTGTAGTCATGAAGCGGAGCTGGTTGCTGTGTAGCCGCGAAGCTCTGGAACAGGGCCAGGGGGCCGGCGTGTGGGGAAGTGTGTGGGCGTAGGGTTAGGACTAGTTCTTTGCCATCGAAATCGGCGGTTTTCCCCTATTTATGCCGATCTGATACTTCCTTCGTCGCGATATTCTGAAGCCGCTGACATTGAAGATTTTCACTCTTCTTGTTGCTCGGTTTCTGAAATCACATAAGTGTCAGAAAACCTGATCTGGGGATCCCCGATAGATCTTAGAGTAGGGTTACAGACACTCTTGGCTGGGGGGGTTATGGGCACATTCACCCGCTCTTAACAAGCCGTTTTATCCCAGTGGTTAGTGGCTAGGATTCTGACATTGTATCGGAGCGAAGGTCTCGGGTTCGAATCCCTATGTGCGCACATTGTTAGAATAGTGAACGAATGAATGAAACAAGAAAAGAGGTTTCACTAGCAGGCAGTTGAGAACATATAGCAAACCCTAAATTATGCTGTACTCTCTATTGAGTACCCCACTGCAGGCTAGACAAATATAACATTCTGACACACCCCCATAACCAAAGTGGGGTGTAATCAGCACAATAAGCAAGCAGAGCAATAGTTCACAAATATAAGCAAAGCTAGAGGCAGTCACAGACGGTAAGTGAGGAGGAGGAGGGACTGTGAGCGGAGTGGAGATAGGAGGCGACGGGTGAAGCCGCAGATACACGGGCAACAGGAGCGGCGCGCACAGTGGCTACCGGAGATTGTAGCCTCCGGACTACTGGAGTAACTGGCTCCGCGGCTAACTCTGAGCGGCAGGAGCAACGGACCCACGGGCGACTGGCGCAGCAGGCTCGCTGGGCTACCGGAGATTGTAGCCTCCGGACTACTGGCGCTGCTGGCGACACGACGGCTACCTCCGCCCAACCTCCCCCAACTGTCCCAAAACTCCCGTTCACACCCCCTGCTGCACCCCTAGCTTCACTCCCACGACACACCCCCCTAGCACCACTCCTTCGGCTCCCACACATCCACCCCCCTCAGCGGCAGCTGCAGGCTGCAGCAGTGGGAGACAGAGGAGGAGGAGGAGCAAGGGACGACTCACACACTCGCCACCCCCATACCCGCCACCCCGCAGTTGCACGTGGACAGGAGGCAGCACGGGCGGCTCGCGGGCTGCAGGGGCGGCACGTGGGCTGCAGGGGCGGCTCGCGGGCTGCAGGAGGGGCAGTGCGCGGGCCCTCCGAGGGCGCCTTGACGGGCGACAGGAGTGGGGGCCGCGCGGGCCCCCAAGGGCGCCACGACGGGCGACGGGAGGGGGCCGCGCGCGGGCCCCCAAGGGCGCCACGACGGGCGACGGAAGTGGGGGCCGCGCGGGCCCCCGATGGCGCCACGACGGGCGACGGAAGGGGGGGGGGGGGCGCGCACGAGCCCCCCGAAGGTGCCGCGACGAACGACGGGGGGGGGTGACGCGTGGGCCCCCGGGGCGCTGCGACGGGCGACGAAACCGCCGCACGCCTCGGGGCGCGCGACAGGCAGGGCACCGTCGCGCGCCACGGGGCGCACGACGGACAGGGCAGGGCGTCGCGCGGCCACCAGGGCGGCGCGACGGGCAGAAAACCGCCGCGCGCCCCGAGCGCGCGGCGGGAAGAAAAAATGCCGCGCGCCATGAGCGCGCGGCTGGCAGACAAACGGCGCGCGCCCGAGGCGCGCGATAGGCAGGACAGCAGCGGAAGCTAACGGTGGGCCCATCCACAGGATCGACCCGGGAGGGTCGACCTGCTCCGATAGCATGTTAGAATAGTGAACGAATGAATGAATCAAGAAAAAAAGTTCCACTAGCAGGCAGTTGAGTACATATAGCAAACCCTAAATTGGGCTGTACTCGCTATTGAGTACCCCACTGTAGGCTAGACAAATATAACATTCTGACACACATGGTGGCGCCCATGTGTCGCTGCCGTTGTACCGTGCCCTATGCCATCCCGGTGAGGGGGGTTGTCAGAAAACCTGCATTGGAGATCCCCAACTGATCATATGGAAGGTTTTCCAGGCACGCCTCCCTACAAAAAAAATTATGGGCGCACTAACCCGCTAATTAACAAGCCATTTGATCTCAGTGGTTAGTGTCTGAGATTCTGACACTAAGTTCCTAACGGTGACTTAAGAGCGGCGTTTCGCTCGAGCAAATCGCGAACTCGAACATGTTTGCTACAAACCCCAACGAACACGTATCATAGGCGAACCGAACTTGTTGGGTTTGCCAATAACTTTTTTTTTCAAAACTGGTGTTCGTGATTTTGTGGTCACAGACGAAGACTTCATGGTTCGCCACAAACCCCTAAGGGTTGGCTCGAACTCGAACTAGTTCAAGTTCAAGGGACCATACCTGGACCTGATTCATTATAGTGCAGTGATATTTCGCGACATTACGCGTTTCGCAGCTGCGATTCGAATTGTCGCGGATTGTTGTTGTCGCTGCACTGATTTCAAACATTTTGCCTGACCACTCCATCCACGCCACCCAAAACCCATTGTACCACTATGCATCACCCAAACCCAATTCACTGTCTTACTTCCGTGCTGCCGCATCTACGCTAGACCTATTTCTCGCGCGCTAGATCTGACCCACCTCACTCCTGCCTAATCAAAGACGAAAGGGTCTAAAGCAGTTGCATCTAACGTGGGTGTGGGTATGGAGGCTAGAGGGATCGTAAATGTCAACATTTGAGCTCAAAACGGAACTCAAATGTTGATCTCCTTCCTAAGTAGAACACCAGCACATCAAATTTGGCGCGCTGGTTATGACGCGAACCCGTCGGGTTCATTTGCGACCGAAACGAATGGGGGTTCGCGATTTTTCTCAAGCCTAGCTACGGTGACAAGCACCTTTTGAGCCGCAAGGGTTGGACTAAAGGACGTCCTTCTCGACTACGTCCTTCTACATTTTCGTCTCCAAGGACTCGGATGAGATGACTTCGGTCCAGACGACTTTGAGCAAGACCCTCTAAACGAAAGTCCTTGGTGACCGACCCTAAGCACTACCTGAGATCATTCATGATCGTCAGGCTTGCACCATCATGATCGTCAGGCTTTACATTGACAATGTCTCGAGCGGTTTCAAATGGGCTCTTGCACGCCCATTGCCACCCCATTGCCGCTCCAGCACCTTCACACTACTCCAACTACACCTACTCCCGAGGCGTGTTCGAGCATTATCCGGAGCTAGTCGAGTCCCTCATGTATGCCATGGTGTGTACCTGACTTGACCTGGCATATCCTGTCAATGTCCTCTCCCGCTATGTGGCTCTTGGACACTTCACCGATCACCACTGGTCAGCGGCACAGCGGGTTCTGCGCTATCTGCGGGGCACCAAGTCTCGTGTCCTCACACTTGGTGGCCCTTCTCCTCCTCAACTGGAGAAATCCTCTTGGGCTGATGACCAAACCAACCGACGCTCCTCCCAGGGCTTCTGCTTCACTCTTGGTAGTGGATTTGTTAGTTGGCACAGCACCAGGTATTTGCAGTCTCCCTCTCATCTTGTGAGGCAGAACTGCATGCCATGACTATGGCATCTCGGGAGGTTCATTGACTCTCCTTCCTCCTACAGGAGCTTGGCTGCCCTCAGTCCACACCCACCCTCTGATGTGACAACCAGAGTACCATCCACCTCTCCAAGGATCCCATATTCCACATCCGCAAAAAGCACATCGAACTTCGCCACTTTTTCATTTGTGACCTTGTTCAGCGTGATCAACTGAAGGTGCAGTAAATTGCTTCGGACTGCAACCTTGCTGACCTGTTCACCAAGCCCCTTAGGCGGGCTGCTCACTATCGTCTTCTCGGTGCCATGAGGCTTTGTGCCCCATCTCCTCTGCCTTGAGTTCGATTGACGTCTACGAGGGGGTGCTATTCTTAACCCTCAATCCCAACTTTTGTACTTGTACCTTTTTATATCCTAGATTGATGTGGTTTGTAGTTTGTGTTGGTTGGGAGTACATCCACATCCCAACCTCACCCGCACGTGATCAACCAAAATCTCCAACCCACCAAATGGAGATTTCAACCGATCTTCTTGGGATTGCCCCTGATTCCCCCCCCATCCAGTTCTTGCTCATTCTCGATGTATCAGTCTAAGCTCAAGTTTCTTACAATACCCACTTCTCCACCACACTAGGTACAAGCAGCAGCGGGCCATCGATGCCGCCAAGGCTGCTGCCGGGCCGGTGGGCATGGCGCCCACGCGGGCGGTGATTCGCTCATCGCTCTACTCCATCGCGTTCGACAAGGCAGTGCCGTTTGATGACAGCAAGTGAGAAGACAATGCTGTTTGATGCCTCTTTTTCATGGTTCACTCTTTCCTTCATACTTAGCTTTAATCTTCTGACATTTGTTTCCCGACTTGTCCTTCTATTCCACCCGCTTGCATTTGCCTCATCACTATTTCCTTCTCCTAGTCCTCCTCTCTGCTACCATTGATATTTTCCCTCCCCATCGTGCCCACCACACCTTGCCTGCCCCATCCATCATGCGCCCTCCCCCCTCCCCCTCGGCCTGCCCGTCCACCAGGGCGGTGTTTGATCTGCGCTTCTCCCTCAAGTGCACCGACGCCAACAGCCTGCCCACCAAGTCGCTCCTCGTGCACTTCCCCACTCTCATTAGGTACACCTCCCCCGTTTCCCCACCTTGCTTGCTCATTCCCTCTCTAGCCTCTGCTGCTGTCACGCTTGCTATATCTCGCCCCTACCCAGGCTGTGACGGCCCGTGACGGCCAGCATTGGTGTGCAGCTGACGGGCCCACGGGAGACCCGCTTCATGCTCCTACCTCCTACCATCGCGGTTGCTGCCTTGTCTTCACACATCTCTCACTACGAGCCGCTCGTCCATTCGTCCATATCCCTTTTTTGTTGCCCCCTCCGCTCCCCCATTCCCTCCTCTCTAAGACTGCCGCCTGTCGCTCTCCCATGCCCCCCTTTGCTCTGTGTTTCCTCCCTCTGTTTCCCCATTACCCTCTTTGCTCCCATGCCCCCCTCGTCTCTCCCGCTCACGGCACGGCAGGCTGGCGGAGACGGAAGGGCTGCAGCTGGTGGACATCGTCAACCTCGAGACGCTCTTCAACGACACCAGGTCAGCACCACGCCAAGTGTGTCAATCACACATTAGTGCACTTGAACAAGTATACTTCGGGTAATGGTTATGGTGATGTGGTAATGGTAATGGTGATGGGGTAATAGTAATGGTGATGTGTTAATAGTAATGGTGATGTGTTAATTGTAATGGTGATGATGATCAGGGAATGATAATGTTAGTGAAGTAATGGTAATGGTGATGGGTTAATGATATTGTTGATGGGGTAATGGTAATGATGATAGGGTAATGGTAATGATGATAGGGTAATGGTAATGATGATGGGGTAATGGTAATGGTGATGAGGTAATGGTAATCGTGATGGGGTAATGGTGATGTTGATGTGGTAATGGTAATAATGATGGGGTAATGGAAATTATGATGTGGTAATGGTGATGGTGATGGGGTAGTGGTAATCGTGATGGGAAAATTGTAATGGTGATGCGGTAATGGTAACGGTGAATCGGTGATGGGGTAATGGTAATGGTGATGGGGTAATGGTAGTGGCTATGGGGAAATGGCAATGGTGATGCTGTAATGGTAATGGAGATAGGGTAATAATAGTGGTGATGGGGTAATGGTAATAGTGATGCGATAATGGTAATAGTGATGGGGTTCTGGTAAAAGTGATGGGGTAATGGTAATGGTGATGCGGGTATGATAATGGTGATGGGATAAAGGTAACGGTGATGAGGTAATTGTAGTGGTGATGCAATGCAGTAATGATTATGGTGATGGGGTAATGGTAATGGTGATGGAATAATAGTGATGGTGATGCGGTCAGGCCAAACCTGGTCAAAAAAATGACCCGACAATATTGAACCCGCTCAGTTCGAGTCAAACCAAAAAGATTGTGGTGGAGGTTCGATATTCGACCTCCAGTTGTCGAACCTCCGTGGTTCCACCCAAACCGGTTCAGTTCGGTTTGACAGGCCGATTTATTATATTAAAAATGGTTTCTTGAAGTGTTCATTGATAGTTTTGCTTAGCATAAATGTGTGTGGGAGGCTGTGCGGTGTCTTGGAAGCATCGTACAGCAATGCACGAGCAGCAGCCACCAGACTAGAAAGCTCAAGAGGTAGCAACCGATCGAGTGATTCAGCAACGTCAGCAACGCAGGTGCTCGCCTCTAGGTCCAGCGTGGCTTGGCTGTCAGCCGTGTCTGTGTATGCTGTTTGTAAGGACATTTCAGCACTTCCTTCCCCATGGCTCCCCCACAGTCAACCCTCATTCGTCCCCTCACCCCTCCCTCCGCTCCCCCCTGCAGGACGCCTGCCAGCATGCGCCTGCTGGCGCACCTCTGCCCCGCCGCACTGCTCGCCCTGCCCGACCCGCGCGCCCACGCTGTTGCTGCTGCTGCTGCTGCTGCTGCTGTGGGGGCAGCAGCAGGCGAGGGAGACGCTGCTGTGCACGTCGGCCTCTCTGCTTCGGCGCGCGACCTGCTGAGTGAGTGCTGCTGGCGACCTGCTGAGTGAGTGCTGCTGGCGACCTGCTGAGTGAGTGCTGCTGGCGACGTGCCGTGCTGCCAACCACTGCGCCACACGGTTGTTGAAGGAGAGAATTAATCAATTGAATAATGAGCCAAGAGGCCTTTTAGTACAAACAATGAGCAAGAGAGAGATGAGAGGGAAGCTTACCCTATTGGCCAATATGTTGACCAATGGGTGAGCTTGCTTGTGGCCCAAGCAACCACAAATGTGTGCTGGTTGAAATTGGTTGAGTTAAGGACCAATCCCAACCAACCACAAAATGTGGTTGGAGGGTACACTAAACAACCCCCCAATTTATAAATGTGCTACACATCTAATTCTAGCCTATGTATGTTGTATAAAATATGAAATTACAACAACGGTGGCAAGCAGCCGCCCACCCAGGCACCCATGGGAAGCATTGCCAGTGTGCAGGCACATTCGTGTTCTCCCTGCTCACTGCCCATAGCCCTGCCCTCCCTTCGCACTTGGTTACCAGCCACTCACGTTTTCCTCCTCGTGTGCCCCTCATGCCCCATTGCCTGCGCCCCTCATGCCCCATTGCCTGTGCCCCCCATGCCCCATTGCCTGCGCCCCTCATGCCCCATTGCCTGTGCCCCTCATGCCCCTTTGCCTGCGCCCCTCATGCCCCATTGCCTGTGCCCCTCATGCCCCTTTGCCTGCGCCCCTCATGCCCCACTGCCTGCGCCCCTCATGCCCCACTGCCTGCGCCCCTCATGCCCCACTGCCTGCGCCCCTCATGCCCCACTGCCTGCGCCCCTCATGCCCCACTGCCTGCGCCCCTCACACCCCACTGCCTGCGCCCCTGGGCAGGTCTCTTTGCTGTCTTCATCTTTGCCAAGCCGCTGCCCCCCACCCGCCTGCCGCCACCACCGTTAGCACCCACACCGCCAGCACCCACACCGCCAGCAGCGGCAGCAGACGAGGTGACTGGGCAGGCAGGTGGGGGAGGGGGGCCGGGGGAGGAGCGGGCGGCATGCGTGTGTGCAGCCACCTCCGGCACGCCACTGGATGAGCCCACCTCGTTGCTTCCCTGCCCTCCTCCAATGCTGCCCGTGCCCCCTGCACCAGCACACACTGCCAGCACCCGCGCCCCTCCTCCTGCTGCCTTGGCATCCCCAGCTCACGTGGTGGTGGGTGGCGCGGGTGCAGGCACGTCGCCCTCGCCTCCCCCCACACTGCCTCCTCCCAAAAGGGACCGCCATTGCGGCAGTGGGGGCACAGTGGGCACGGCACACACGCATGGTGGCCCTCCCTGCCCCTCTGCTGCGCTGCCGTGTGCCGCCGTGCGCCTGGAGGTGCACGCAGGGCCCTCTGTGCTGCCCCGTGCGCCGGAGGAACGTGCTGAGAACAGCCCACGGGATGAGGTGAGAGGCAGTGGGGGTGCCGGGAGGGGGGAGAGGGGTGAGAGGGGCGAGAGGGGCTCAAGGGATGGTGGGGCGGTGGGCAGGGGGCCGCGCGGCGTGTGGGACCTGGACGCCTCCGACGACGACCCCGACCCCTCCCCCTCCCCCTGGGCGCTCGCCCGCCCGCCCCCCGCCCTCCCCCCGCCTCCCCCTCCCCTCTCTGCACCCCCCCTTCCTCCACCTGCCTCCTGCCTGCCCCCTACACGTGGCAACGTGGGCTTGGGTGGGGAAAGGCAGGCGTGGGGTGCTGTGACGCACAGGCAGAGGGGCATGGCATGGGAGGAGAGGGGGGCGAGGGAGGAGAGGGAGCAGAGAGGGGGAAGGGGGCAGAGGGAGGAGAGGAGGGAAAGGGGGGAAGAAGGGGAGAGAGAGGAGAGAGGGGAGAGGGGCGAGATGGTGCAGGACGAGGTGATGGTGGAGCGAAGGGGGACGGCAGATAAAGCGCAACAAAGAGGTGGGGCGATGGGAAGCAAAAGCAGGATGGATGAGAAGGAGCAGTCCGCTCATGTGCTTCCGCTGCTTCCATGCCCTCCTGAGCACAGTGCTGACAGGCTGCGTGAGCGGCCCGCCCATGAGCAGAGTGATAGGGGCGAGCACCGTGGGGGGGCAGGCGAGCACCGTGGGGGGCCAGGCGAGAGTCACACTGGTTGGCTCGAGATGCACTCCCACTCTCATGGCCAGTGCCCTGAGCAGCAGCAGCAGCAGCAGCAGAGGCAAGGCTATGTGCATGTGTCTCCGGATGCGGCAGTTGAGAGCAGCGCGGTGCGCATGGCATCCCCGCCCCGCCTGCCCCAGGGGGTGCTGCCTACCCCAATGCAGTGCAGAGGGAGTGAGGGCAGCACCGAGGAGGAGGCTGGGGAGGGCGGAGACAGCAGGGAGGGAGGGGAGGGAGGGGAGGGAGGGGAAGGTGGGGAGGGAGAAGAAGGTGGGGGCGCGGTGAGGTGGCGGGCGCAGGGCAAGCGCGAGCGCAGCCGCAGGAAGGCGAGGGGGCTGGCGATGGCGATGGAGGACATCATGCGGCGCACGCCCATCATTGCTGCGCGCGGGCTGGTGGGGCGGGAGGGGTGCGGTGGGGCACACGAGATGAGTGCGCGCGACGGTGAGGCAGGGAGGGCACGGGATGGAATGGGTGTGCGGGAGGGGTGGGTGACAGGGGAGGCAGGGTGCGGCGGCAACGAGGCGGGGGAGGGGAGGGCGGGCAAGAGGAGGGGGGTGGTGGACGAGTGGGAGGAGTGGCACCGGCGGCAGATGGCTGCCGGGGGGCATGTGGGGCGTGCAGGACAGGGGGTGCACAGCAGTGCCCAGCCTGCCAGGTATGACGGCAGCACTGCTGCTTTTGCAGTGGTGGTGCGAGCGGGGGAGGCGCATGCAGGTGGAGAGGCAGGGATGCATGCAGGTGGAGAGGCAGGGATGCATGCAGGTGGAGAGGCAGGGATGCATGCAGGTGGAGAGGCAGGGATGCATGCAGCAATGCAAGACAGCGTGACAGCGCTGGGGGCGTTGGGAGTGGCACTCGCTGCAGGAGGAGGAGGAGGAGGAGGAAGAGGCATCCCCGCTGTGGCGCGTGGTGGCTGTTCCAGTGAGGCGCATGCAGTTGGTGCGGTGGAGCATGCAGCTGGTGTGGTGGAGCACGAGCCCCTGATCACCTACTCACTCAAGCGACACCGTAAATCCCTCAAGGAGCACCACTGCAAGTAGAGCATTCATCACATCAGTCTCCTCATATGGATGAATGGAAACCCCTACCAGTGGTAAGCTACCACATACGGTGCCGTAATACCCCGGATAGTAGCGCATATACGCTTATAATAAATTCATTTTTTTTAGGGGGGGCGCTTGTAATTGAGTAACGGCCATTAGCGCTTTTATAAAGGCAAATTTTAATTTTACTGTAAAGGATATCATTCTGAAGCCCTCAATAAGGCGAATACAACACTGTACCATGCGCGCGAGGTCGTGAATAGAATGACGGCGAAACTAGCTGCACAAAACCCGTCCCGGTGCAACGCATCTGCCAGCACTGATGCAAAACCTGCCGTGTGGCCCAATCAGGTTGGCATGCGCTGCCAGGCAGGAGCATCTCGGCAGAACCATCCAGAACGTGATGGAATCTGCCGTGCCAGCGTAGCATGGATGGTGCCCCAAACCCTCCTCTGCGGGTTGAGGCAGGGGTGTACTCGTCTCTCATCGACAAGGACCCCGAGCCGCAAACCACAAGGGGTCCCCTTCAATCTCTCATTTCAACACCCATTCTTGTAGTTTTTCATTCATTCTTCTTTTTCTCGCCCGCCTGACCGCGGAAGCCATGGCGGAATTCACAGGCACTCATTTTCTCTTCAAGAAAAAACCTTCCAGTAGGCCCGCATACTGTGTTACAGCTGACGGGTGGTATAGCCGCATACCACCAGACCCTCCAGAGCCACCACAGCCTCCAGCGCCTCCTGCGCTGCCTGCTCCTCCGGCTCCTCCAGTGCCTCCGACTCCCCTTGCTCCTCCTGTTCCTCCGTCTCCTCCGTGTCCGGTGGCCCCTCACGTCACCGATAACCACCCCGTGCTCGCGCTCCTGCTCCCATCGGCGTTCGACGAGTATCTGTCGGAACCGGATTATGACAAGGGCCCCGATGTTGACGTACCCGCTCCAGCGCCAACACCACGTTGGGGCCAGCCAGAAGACTTCACGTGGGACGAATCTGTAGTCGGCGCTGACGACGACGTGCAAGACGCCGAGGAAGGTTGGCGCGCTGAGGGCGACGCCGGCGCCGAGGGTGGCACTGAGGCCGACACCGAGGCCGCTACTGAGGCCGGCACTGCTGAGGATGTGTTTCCCGAGGGTGCGCCGGGCGGTGACGACGATGACGGCGTCGAATACTGGTCACGCGATGGCCTCCCCAAGAAACTCCCGATACCAACTTATCCTCCACGTAATCGAAAGCGACCTCACCCTTCTTCACAGAACCGTGATTCTCGCCCCCCCTCTCCCAGGCACAAGCCCAACGACCACAAGCGTCAGGCCTATACTGCCGCCGAGAAGTTGAAGTGGGTCGCGCAGCTGGATGTGGCGGTGTCGGTGCGCGCTCTGGCTCGCGAGAGTGGCATCCACCGCAAGTGCCTCGCCAACTGGAAGCGTGCCGCTGATTTCCTCAAGGAAGCCCACTCTGCCAGGAAGCGCATGCACGGTCGCGGCAGGGCGTCGTGGTACCGCCCGATGGAGATCAAGGTGTATGAGCGATTGCTCGACTGGCAACGCAAGGGAACCGCGGTGTCCGTCGGCCGCCTGCAGGAGTGGTCCCGAGAGTTCATGAAGTTTCTCTACCCCCTCGTGAAGTGGAAAGGGAGCCAACGGTGGTCGGACCGGTTCCGTCGGCGGTGGAATCTCAGCGTGCGAATGAAGACGAAGGTCGCCCAGAAAACCGCCACCCGTAAGAATCAATTTTATTCTCTATGCCATGTGTATGCACTTGTTGTTCACTAACCGTAACTGTGCTCAGTCGCAGATGTCGCGGAGCAGTGCAAGAAGTTCTGGCAATTCGTCCATGACAAGCGACGGGAGCGCGGCATCGAGACGACGTGGATTATCAACGCTGACCAGACGCCGCTGTGGCTGGAGATGCCCGCCACCACTACCGTCGATCAAACCGGTGTTCGGTCGGTGCCCATCAGGAGCGCGGGGTACCAGAAGGAGCGCGTGACCGTGATGTTGGCGTGCACGGCGGACGGGGTGAAGCTGAAGCCGTGGGTTTTTTTCAAGCGGAAGACCGTGCCGAAAGGGGTGTTCCCGCCGGGTCAGTCATGATTCTTGTTTGTACCGTATGCTTTTCACCTGTCCTGTTTTTTAAGAGAAACTTACAGAAGCTTGTTTGTTATGCAGATGTGGTCGTGGCGTGTCACGAGAACGGCTGGATGGAAGCGCAAGGCGTCATAGGATGGCTTGAGGAGTGCGTCAAGCCCTTTTTAAAGCCTGGGTTCGGGAGGCATGTGCGGAGCTCGATGGTCGTACTGGACTCGTACCGCGGTCACCTCACTGAGGGGGTGAAGGAGAAGTTTCGCGAGCTCAACTGCGTGCCGGCGATCATCCCGTCTGGCTGCACGGCGGAGGTACAGCCCCTCGACGTCTCCATCAACAAGAGCTTTAAGGCGAGCGTCCGCCAGCAGTATCAAAAGTGGTTTCAGGAAGAAGGCCAAGAACAGCTAACCAGAGCAGGTACGGTAGCCACGCGAGTCCCTATCTTACCGTAGATGATTGTCCCCCCTTTTGTTGCGCTAACTAGATATTGTGTGATTCTATTGGTACAGGGAACTTGAAGAAGCCGCCCCCAGAGGTGGTCGTAAGGTGGATTTTACGGGCATGGAAAGCAGTGCCCGCCGACCTCATCAAGCGCGCCTTCCTCACCTGTGGAATCAGCAACGCGCTTGACGGCAGTGAGGACGGTCTCGCCATGGCGCACAGGCAGAGCCAGCTGACCGCGGAGGTGGACGTCGATGATTCCATCATCGCCGATGGGTTCTTCGGCAACAACTACCAGGAGCCCGAATCCGACGAGGAGGAGTAGATTTTCTAGGTAGAAATGCTAAACTTACGCTTATAATCGAGTTCCGGCCATAAGCGCCATGCTCCAGATAGAAGCGCCGGCGCCCTTAATCGGACGGCGCCTATATCCGGGGCCATACAGTACCATCATGCACACCACACAGCCTGATGCAGTCAAGGCTGCATGATGTGTGCAATGGGGCTCCTTCTGAAAAACTGTACAGCCTGGAGGGCAAGTCGGGCATCTGAATGTGTGCACTGGGGCTGTTGTAAATAACCGGATTGGCCAAGCAGCGGTGCACTTGTCTCCATGAAATTTCAAAGGTGAAAAGGTCTGCATCAACCAGGATCGTGTCATCCCGGATATAGGCGCAGACCTATGATAAGCGCATGCACTTCTATCTGGAGCGAGGGCTTTAAACTGGTTTTAGGGCACCTTGGTCAAACAGGGTGTGACCTGTACATTTGGCCCATGGTTAGGTTGAATGCCCATTTCTTCAAAGTAGAAAAAGCGGAATGAGTTTACTAGCAAGAGGAGCAATACAAATACCAACACTAGAAATGGGTTGTACTCAGGGGTTTTTTTATCAGAGTAAATTACATTGTTTCTCTGAAAATCAGAGTGGTTTCTGGGGGGTCACTCTGACGTTTCTGGGTATTTTTTTTGGAAGTTCAATTTTCTCTGATTTGCCAGGGTTATGATTTTAGGTTCTCTGATAGACTAGTGTAAATTTCTTGCGAATGCATTATTCTCTGTACAGTGTACAGAAATTTCGAAGAATTACTTCGGGAGAATTACTTTTCTTCAGGGAACGTGCATCTCTCACTTGTGTCGTGAGCGCATAGCACAACTGTAATAGTTTTTGTAGGAGCGCGAAAGGCGTGAGTTCAATACTGGAAGGAACATTCAGAGTTGGAAAAATTTGTACATTGACTGTCCTTAGTTTTTTTTTTCAGAACTTAAGTTCTCTCTGACAAATCAGAGTAACGCTCATGATCAACCCTGAATTTCAGACTTCCCAAAAAAACAACTATGAAAATCCGAGTAGTGAAAAAAAAAAAAAAAAAAAAAAAAAAAGCCTTGGTTGTACTTCCTACAATGTTAGTCAATTTAGCCTAACAAGTGAAAACAACATTTGACACACCCCCATAGGCTAAGTGAGGGGCATAAAGAACAAGCAAGGGAAACAAATGGCTACAAGATCAATCAAGAGAAGTAACAACACAAATTTCAGGGTGGACCACCATATAGTTTGAGAGCAAGCAAGGGTTCAAGAGTGTTGGAAACAAGTAATTTAACGCTCCTTGTCAGAATAGTCAAAGAAGGAATGACTGAACTAGCAAGCAGGTGGATACAAGTGTTGTAACCTAAAAGTGTGGTACAGCCTAGACAGACTATAGCATATAAGTTTGACACACCCCCACAGGCAAAGTGGGGGAGAACAAGAGGTCACAAGACCGGTCAAGAAAGGCAAAGCAAGCTCAGGGTGGATCACGACGTCACCACTCATTCTGAGCACAAGCAAATGGCCACAAGGCCAGATCACATGCAGAGTTATATAAAGGACAACAAACAATAAAATGAACACAACCTAGCAAGTGTAAGCATGCAGGTATATGTATAGAGATCACAGTACAAGCAGAGTCAAGAAGTGAGCAAGTGAGGCCAAGTAGGCACAAGACCTAGCATAGTACAAAAACGCTGATGATCACAAGGCTGAAGTGCCTTGGTAAAGATATCAGCAGTGTTGGCCCGAGTGGCCACGTAAGCAAGACGGAGCTGACCACGCTGCTGCAACTCTCGAGCAAGGAAGTAGCGCAGAGCAATGTGCTTCGTTCTGTGCTCCAGTCTGTGCTCCTGACACAAGGCAAGCATGGCCTTGTTGTCGACGTACATAACTGGAGGAGAACGAGGCGCCTCTCCCAAGTCGGTCAGCAGGTAGGTGAGCCTGCGTAACTCCTGTGCAGCCATGGCCCGAGCGTAGATCTCAGCCTCACAACTGGAGCTGAGAACAGAAGACGAGCGGGCAGACCGCTAAGAGACAGAGCCGGAGCCAAGGCTGAAGGTGTAACCCTGTGACGACCGCTGCGTAGACAAGTCGTCAACCCAGGAAGCGTCTGCGTGACCAGTGAGGACAACTCGAGCCCGTCCTCCAAGCACGAGCCCCAT